TATATATATATATAGTATTTTAGATGGAACCCAGAGCCTTAACATTGAGATACATTCCTAGAACTTTATTTTAATTGCTTTAAGAGAGGGTTTACTAACATGCTGGGCTCAAACTTACAATCTTCCTACCTTAGTCTATCAGAATTCTGGAGTTATAGGCATATGCTACCACATCTGGCACCTTTTTTTAATTTACAGATCTGAAACCTGTAGATGTTAAGAGCAGTCCATAACATCCAAAAGAGGAATGGATGAAAGGCAATAGGAACCTGACTGTAATCATTCTTCCATAGCAGCTATGGTCACTGGAAAAGTTTTCTGGTAAAAGGTAGCAATCTGCCTTCCTGAAATTTCAACCTGTGATTCCAGCCTGTTGGACCCAACAACCATCTGAGAGCGGAGATTTGCTCGATTCCCTTAATATCACTTTCTTTATGGGAGGTGGGTTTGAGACAGGGTCTCACTGTGTAGTGAGACTGACCTGGAACTCACTGTGTAGCCCAGTCTGGTCTCAAACTCACAGTGATCCTGCTGCGTCAACCTCCTGAGTGCTGGGATTACAGGCGTGCGCCACCACGCCCGGCTCTTAATATCACTCTCTAAAGCTCAGTTTTCCAGCTCCTTCTATGCTTGCCCTCATCTTCAACTCCCCATGTATCAATGTCACATAAGAGAATTTAAGTACCCCCCCACCCCCACTCCTGTGCCTCACCCAGGATTATCCATCCTGGGTCACACTCAGAAACTAAATCCAATACATCCTTTGACAATGTCCTTTCCTTACTTTGAATTTATGGCTTCTTCCTGTCCACAAGATGTATATTTTTTCTCAGCCAGGTTTGGTGGTGCACACTTGTAATCCCAGCCAGGAGGCTGAGGGAAGATTGCAAGTTTCAGGCCAGCCTGGGTAACACAGTAAGATCTTGTCTAAAAACAAAAAATAAAAAGTGTGTAGCTCATTTATAGAGCACCTTGGGTTCCATTCCTAGTAATGGGGGGAAAAGAAACTTTACCTATAAGGCACTGTAAGACTTTACCCTGCCTCTTCGTTCATCATTCCTTATTCCACGGACCTCAAACTTCTTTCATTTCTCCAGTTCTACTCTGCTGTCTTTATACTGGGCTTTCATTCATACTTTCCTCTCCTTGAACCGTCTCCCCGTTTCCTGCCTAAAGTGCAGTACTATCTCCTTCATCTGGTCAACATTTCAACCTGATGTCAGTTCAGGTATCTACACTTCTCTGGAGCTTTTCCTGATCCCCCGGGGTACCACCTGCCACTGACATTCAATACTTTCTAGGTTGATCTGTTGCATCAATGCTCGGCACAGAACTCAATGTAGTTAGCCCCACATGAGAGGAGAGCTGTCAAAAAAAAAAAAAAAGCTTTCAAATAATCATGCTGTAGTCAGCTTCCAAGATGGCCCCTAATGACCCGTTTCCTGGGTGTTCATGCCCTTGTGCAGTTCCTTCCTACACTGAAGGACTGGTTTGGGCAACCAGGAGTAGAAAGGAGTGTGTGACTTTCAAGGCTTAGCTATAAAAGACAGTGACTTCCACCCTGCCCCGCATGGACCTGACCTCTGGGGGAAGTGAGCCCCCTGGGAGGACACACAAAGAGCTCTATGGAGAGGACCACATGCCAGCACCCACTCGCTAGGTATGTGAATTAGCCACCTTGCAAATGGATCTTCCAGCCTTCATTTGGCTTTCAGAAAACTGCAGCCAGGGCTGGGGTGTAGCTCAGTGGTACAGCACTTCCCCAGCATGTGTGAGGCCTTGAGTTCCATCCCCAGGGGCTTGTGCACGCACACACACACACATACGCACACACACATACATACAAGTAACACAATGGCCAGGCGTGGTGGCACACGCCTGTAATCCCAGCACTAGGGAAGAGGAGGTAGCAGGATCGCTGTGAGTTCAAGGCCAGCCTTGGGTACGTGGTAGTGAGTTCAAGGCCAGTCTAAAGTACAGTGAGACCCTGTCTCAACAAACAAACAAACAAAAAAACAAACAAAAAAACACTGCAGCCCAACTGATGGCTAAGTACAACTTCCAGAGACCCTGAATCAGAACTACCCACCTCCTTAATTCCTGACCTGTGGGACGAAATGTTTTGGTATTGGTATAGTTCATTTACTCTGAAATGTTAAAAGGGTCTCTTTCTCCAGAATAAATTGCCTTTTGTAGAAAAGCTTAATTCTATTTTTCTGAATGCTCTGCTTTGTTTCTCAGTGGTCATAACACACTCTGTGGGAGACAGTGAGTTACCAGTAGCCAAGAGCCAGAACACCTGGGGTTCCTGCCGAGTGACAGCAAACCTGCCACCTGGTTGTGGCAGTCCCCTCTCTTGGCAGCAGCAGGCGAGGTGAGTCGAGTTTTAGATCTGCTAGAGAAATCAGAGAGGAGGCCAAGTCCACAGCAACTGTTCATATGACATACTTTATTTCTACAACCATTAAAAACGCTTTGTAAGTTTACACTGTACAGTTATTCTCATGTCAAAGTAAGACATAGGGCAGGGAGGCTGGTGGATTGGACTGCAGTAGTCCCAGCACCCAATCCATCCTGGGAAGGAGCCTTGTGAAGACAGAAGTGAAAAGGAGCGAACAGTGAGGAAGAGTGGGACAGTTGGCCCAAGGATGCCCTTGGTTCCCTTCCCTCCGAAGGGCCTTTCCCTGGGGTTCCCCAGGGCCATGACTATGAGACCCTCACCAGGAAATCAGGCTGAGCAGGAAGGGGGCTTCACAGTATTGGCAGGGGGTGGGGGAGCAGAATAATGAGGAAGGACAACTTCGGGCTCTCTTCCCCAGGGGCTGAGGGCCAGAGCAGTTTTTTGGCACTGTCTACAAGTTCTTCCTGGGGTAGGGAGGGGAGAAAGAGGAGAGGAAGGAAAAGGAAAGGGAGCACAAGGAGATTTAGGGTTCTCTTCTTGTGGAGTTGGGTTTCTTTCCATTTCAAGAGAAGCCATCAGGCCTATGATGTTCCCAAATGATAAACAGGCTCCTTTGCCTCCTGCCTGCCCAGGACTCCCACCCTCATCTACTCCTGACACCCATGCAGCCTTCTGGAGGATCCAGACAGGTGGGAGAGGTGAACAGAGCTGGAACCCAGCCAGGAGCAGAAAAAGGAAAACTATATCCTCTCTGGTTTTCAGGAAGAGAAGACACAAGAGGATTGGTTTTGTTTCGGGGGTTCTCCAATCTCAGAAGCCCAGGTGAAATGCTTTCCACTATTCTTGCCTTGGGCCAGCCCCAGCCGCTCCCAAGGCTATACTGGGAAGAGTCCAGTCCAGACCTGTGTATATTAGAATGACTTGCGAGGTTCTGTCAAACCTATTTTGCTGGGCCCTGCTGATAATTTGGACTTCTGTCAGGTTCCTTGCTTCTGCTGCTAACATAATCTGAAAACTACTGGTCTGGAAAATGTCCCTAGTCACCTCATCCTCAGCACTGGTATCCCTAGCCAGAGCCATTCTGACAAGAGTCAACATTATAGGCACCAAAGGATCTAAAAAGCTACTGGGAATGGTCTTGTGGTGAGGGCCCCCCTGTGCAGAGAAGTAAACTAAGGCACAGAGATCAGTGGCACAGCTGAGAGAGGAAACAGGACACCAGGGCCAAGCAGAGAAAGGATAGGGCTTTACGACCCCAAAATATGAGGTGTCTTCTGGGACCCATAGTGTCACCCTAGTGCTTCTCAGAGGACCATAAAACTGGGAGAGCCAGAGACGAGATCAGCCAAGAATAGGACCAGACTGCTGGTTTAGGGCCCTCTTCATGAGAGTGGCTTGGGTGACTTCAGAATGGAACCTGACAAGGCAGCCTGTCCCCGACTGCCTAGCCCATCCAGGATGTTCAGAGGAAATCAGAGGCCCTCTCCTTGGGGTCTGGTCTCCAGAGAGCTGGTGATGGGCGAGAAGGGAAGGAAGCAGGGCCAGTGGGATTGCTAAGGGGAAGAGGAGGGTCTCTGGAGTGTAGAGATGGAGCAAGCAGGGCAGGTGGTGGAGACCTGAGGAGGAATTCAGACCCAGAATTGTCTTCAGTCCCCTGTGGAGGCTGGGTCTGGGGATTTTTCCAACTGCAAGTTTTGTCACATTGGAGCTAAGGCCCAGCAGGGACAGAACAGATGCTCAGATGGGGGGATGGATGGCCACAGAGAAAAGAACCCAAGTCGGGCTGCACTTGCTTTACAACTAAGGCCATGCAGGGCTGGGGAGGGCAGAGGAGGCTGAGAGAGGGAATCCAAGTTCATGTCTACCACACCTCCCCAGTGGAGGGCAGCTAGGGTTGCTACTTGGAGGCTGTGGATAGAAAAACAGTATGGCTTAAGGGTACGATTGGGGGATGTATTTCTGCACTGGGAGATTCTAGGAGTGTGAACCCCATGAGAAGAGCTAGCAAGGCTGAGCTGCCTGATCAGGTAAAGGGCCCCTCTGGTGTGAGAAAATACAAAATACACAGGGCAGCCAGGGCACTTCCCTGAATGTGAGCACGGAGGGAAGACTGTTGCTGAGGTTGTAGGAAACCCACAGGAGGGAGCAGTGCTGGGAGGGTGCTGCGGGAAGGCTGAGGGCTGGTACTACAATGAAGCAAGCTGGGGCCTAGAAGAGAAAACTTGGCCTTGGGCTGGCCCACCTTCTGGGGGGAACAAGCTAAGCGGAAGAGGAGGCAGAGCAGGGCATGCTGGGACATGCCTGTAATCCTGACCCTGGGAGGCTGAGATAGGAGAACTGCAAGTCTGAGCCCAAACTGTGTAACTCAGTAAGAGCTTGTCTCAAAATAAAAGAGGTCCAGGGATATGGCTCAGTGTGAAGGCCATGGGTTCAATTCTCAATATCCCCCTCCCCTAAAAAAGCTAGAAACAAAAGCCAAAAGTTATAGCATTCTACTTCCCATGATTGGATAATGAAAGTCACAATTCTGATTGTTTCTTTCTATCATGGCTGCTATGAAACAAGAGGGAAAGAAAAAAAAGTTTTTTCAGTACTATGGATTGAACTCAGGGGTGCTCTACCACTGAACTATTATCTTCAGTCCTTATTTTTTTGAGACAGGGTTTCACTAAATTGCCCATATTGGGCTCAAATTTGAGATCCTCGTGTCTCAGCCTCCTAAGTAGTTGAGATTACAGGTATATAATACCTTGGCCAGCTAAGAGTGAAAATGAACTGCATGGTTATGGGAATTAAATTAGGTAGAGTTGAATAATAATCATCTTGCCTTTTGTTGTTTTCTACTTTTTGCGTTTTCTATCCTTATATTATGAAACACATATGACTAAAATTATAAACTGCCTCCTAAGATTTTTGGAAATCCTCAGGGTAATTAGATCAAAACCGAGCTTGGTTGAGGTGAACAGTGTTCTTTTAAAAATATAGCATTATTAGCCAGGTGTGGTGGCACACACCTGTAACCCCAGTACTCAGGAGGCTGAGGTAGGAGGATCGCGGTGAGTTGGAGACCAGCCTGGGCTACTAGTGAGTTCCAGATCAGCCTCAACTACATAGTGAGACCCTATTTCAAAAAACCAAAAAACAAACAAACAAACAAAAAGCATCATCAGCCAGGTATGTGGTACATGACTGTAATTTCAGAACTCTGGGAGGCTGGGGCAGGAGGATTCCAAGTTAAACCCAGCCTGGGCAACTTAATGAAACTGTTTTAAAATAAAAAATGAAAAAGGGCTGGGCATATAGCTCAGTGTAGAGGCCCTGGATACAGAATGAATGCATGAAGCTCTGTCCCGCCAAGGCTGCTTCCTAGAGCTGTCCTTGAGCTATGTGTAGGGGATGGAGCATGGGGCGTGGGGAAGTGATCTCTAAATAGTAAAGTACAGGGCTGGGGATTTAGCTCAGTGGCACCACGCCTGTCTTGCAAGTGCAAGGTCCTGAGTATCTCCAGTACCAAAAAAAAAAAAAAAAAAAAAAAAAAAAAAAATGCACAGGGCAAGATGTACAGAGGATTATTATTATTTTTAAAGAAGAGGTAGTGGGAGTTTAGAGGCTGCTGAGGCTGGAAGGGGGAACATCCTGGATGGGCATGGAGAGGAAGTCTGGATGTTAAATGTGCAACAGAAGCTAGGGGATAAGTCCATGACAGGTATACGGAAGGGGGCATAATGGAGCTGAATTGACATCCAAGTGTAAGATTAGGGTCAAGTCTTTGAGCCTTCAGCTTTGTGACCCGGAGGATAGCTGGTAGAAGAGCATCCCGAGGGAGGCCAAGGGATGGGGCCCATTTTGAGTTCATAAAGCACAGTTCTCTTGCCTTTGTTGAAGGACCAGGAGAAGGGGGAAATGGGCAGGAGACAGGAACTGGATTCTGATGCCTTGTGTGTCCAGGCCTTAGCATCACTGACGCACCAACTGTGATTTTCATTTCAAATACAGACACCATTGCAGGGGGGTTTGATTAGGCTCTGGGAAGAGGCCAGATGTAAGAAATGGGAAGTCATTTAGTGTAGGGTCAGCTGTGGAAATGGTACACCTTTTCCCCCAACCAGCTGGTGCCAACCCATACACCCAAGGCAAGCAGTCTGTAGGGGACTGGGACCCCAGGGTTCCTTGGGACTTTGGTTGAAGAGGGAGATAGGACAAAGGAAGAAGAAGATTAGGAGAAGAGAAGGTGGAAGGGGTAGAAGTAAAAAGGTAGAGACGAGTAGGAAGGAGAAGGGCAGCATTCCATCTTGGGACCCCCAGTCCTCTAGGGGAGTCCCGACGGTGGGTCAGGCAGTTTCTGCTTTGGGAATGTTACCAAGATGTAAAAGGCATTTGAAAAAACCAACTTAGAAATCACATTGCAGAAGAGTAGAGAGTTTTTACAAACCAACCCTCCCACTCCAAGAAAGAAAACACAACGAGTTACCAAGTAAAATGCTAAAAAATTAAACCAAACCAATATTTACAAATAACATTTTCAAAATCCCATCAAACCCCACGTCCAGAGGCTTCTGTAGGAACAGTGACAAGTGGCCTTGCACAGTGGCATGCCAAGGAGGAGAAACTGGGACTTCACTGAAAACCAAGACCTACAACTCCAACACCCATTGGGGCTAGATGCGGTGACGACAGAGACAGCATGACAACCTCAGATGAGGACGATGGTAAGGCTGAGTGGCCTGTGAGCTTTGGGGTTTGGGTCTCACGGGGACTTTCCCCCAAGGCTGAGAGTGCAGCCTCCCCGGCCTTCTGCAGCTCTGGGAGGTGGCAGAAGGCCTCTTGTGGTTTGTGAGCTGTGTGAAGCCCCTCACTTGGAGACGGATGTAGAGGGGCCCTGGCCCACAGCTCCACTGGCCACCTGCTCTGTCTGTACAAGTTACAAGAGTGAGGGAGCAGCTGGTGGGGCTGACATGCCGCCCATAGGGAATGGGGATAAGAGATTCTGGGTATCTGTCCAGATGCCCCCGAAAGGGTACACTGGGAACTGGCAGGTGGGAGTGCAAGCTGTCTTCTGCATCCCGGGGACAAACTAGCAAAGCTGCTTGCTTGTAGCCATTCTGATGGGAAATTCTGCAGACAAGCCTACTCATTCTGGGATGTGACCCTTGGTTCTCAGCAGTGGCAGGAGGATTGCACAACTGTGTGTTGGCAGAGGGAAGGTGGACATGTGTGCAACCAAGATGGGTTCACCGGCACCAAGGAAGAGGGCATGTGAGGCCCTCCTCACTGTACTGCAGTGAGCCACAATTCAATCCATCAGATGGCACTGGTGGCTCCCACGGGTGTGAGAGGGAAGGCAGTGGGAGCTGGGGCTGGGAGAAGCCAAAGAGGCCATAAGGCTAAGGAGACAGGCTGGTGAAAAGGCTGGCGGGCTGGCAGACACTCTCAGATCCGTGTGCAAAGCTGCAATAAACAACATTCTCGAAGCTCATCCTCTTTTCCTGCACGTTCTCACTTAGGGAACTGGGAGGGATCTCCACGCGCTTGTTGGAGCTGGGGTAATCCGAGTTTGACTCATTGAGAAAGGTGTCAGAGAAGCAAGGAAAAGAAGAAGGGAAACGGAGGATGTCTGGGGAGCGGTGATGTCAGTCTGGCCCACCACCCCGTCCAGCGTTATTTACACACGGACCTCCGGAGGCCAGGCAAGTACCAGGTACGAGTGAAAGGGGTACGCTGAGGCTGAATGGTCAGTGGGTGAGGAGCAAGCTGCAGGTCCCAGCTATGGCGAGGGGCCCTCCAAACTGACCAGGAGACCAGAACTTCGCAGCTAAGCTACCTCATCCACATGGCAGGGGGGTCCCATGCCTGTGCATGAGGTTAGAAGCCCCACATCGTCCCAGTGGCAAGAATACAGGTCTTAACCTCCAATAAATTACCTTAGGGGCTTTTGGATAAATTAAATTATTAAAATAAAGTAAACGACCTTAAATATTTATAGTATGAAAAATTCAAATAAACAATCTAGGCAAGACATGTGTTTCCATGCCCCAGTCTACTACCGTGTCCTGGGACACTGACTTTTTGGAGTTCTTGGCCTGGCCTGACCAACTGGGAGTCTTGTATTGGGTGTATCTCTGCCCTCCACCAGCTGCAGGATGTAAACACAGTGGAGATGTGGTGCCCTTTCAGGGCACTGGAGAAAGAGGCCCCAGAGATCTAGGCATGGGCATGTAGGCATTTATCGATGCACCAGGTCTTGAGATTGAGTCTACCTATTTCTGGCCTCACCGAGTCTCCTGAGAAGGTTGGGTTCCCCCAAGTCACCTTGGCAAGGGAGGCAATTTCCTACACATCCCCACCTTATCTCCCAGTCTGGGCTGTATTCAGGTATGGGCAGGGAGATCCAGGGCTCTAGGATTCCAATTAGATACGTGGCCCTAACTACTGCCCTCTCATACCCCGTAGAGTCCCAGCAATCTGGTGCAGCAGGTACAGGGAGAGAAGGTGGTGGAGACTCTGGTGGTGATATCCAGCCCTGCTCTGCCAGGACCACCAAGATGGGTCCACGGGCAAAGCCAGTTCTTCTCAGTGACATCTCCTTCCCAGGGAAAGGTGCAGTCAGCAGGGAACATCTCTGTGATCCCCTTTCCCCACAGGCATGGCTGGAGGTGTATTCCTTCCTGGACTTTTCCAAGGAGGGGGTGTGAGTGGAGGCAGACAAAGGGCTCCTTTAGGACCCCGGGACCCGTCAGTCCTGATGAGCTCTCTGTAGAAGCTTCCAAGGCCCAGCTGTGGTCTTTGTCCCGCTTACTGTCTTCCCCGGAAATCACAGATCACTACTCAGTGGTCAGCATGAGACCCTGCTTTACCTTGATATGAAAGCTCTTTGCTGGCAGTGGCACAGCTGCTGTCCCTCCAGGGAGCCGCGTTGCTGAGGGAACGGCCCCTCACCTCCTCTCCGCTGTTCCCTCTTGCCATCCAGGGACCGGGCGAGCTGAGGTGGAGACTTGGGTATTCTGTCACTCGCTGGGGGGGGCTGCCCTCTCCTCCCCTCCCCAGCCAGATTCAGAAGGGTGCAGCCTACACTTGGAAGGAGAGTGGCGGACGGCAGAGCGGGATGGCCGGGTGAAGCAGGTGGCTAGAGACTGGGCGCTGCTACAGTCACAAACAGCATCCTAGGAGGAGGAAGGAAGGAAGTCAGGAGGAGCCAGGAAGTTCAGTCTGGATGACCCATAGCTCAGATCACCCAGACCAGTTCCCTAGGGCATGGCCTTGGGACACAGTTTCTGGACCAATTTTTGCTTATTCTTTTTTGGTACTGGGGATTAAACTCAGGTCCCTGCACTTGCAAAGCAGGCAGCAGAACCACTGAGCTAAATCCCCAGCTTATTCTTAATATACTTCATATGCACATTTACCACAATGAGCTCACAACAGCCCATTTTGCAATTGGAGAGCGTGCATACATTTTTTTCAACTATTTATGTCTAAATCTCTTTCCTGCTTGCTTTAAAATCTCTTTTTAATGGGTCTATAATATTCTACTGAATGAAAATAATTTACTTACCCAATTCACTTGTGGTTTTCTTTTTCAAAGCGTAGCACTGAACCCAGGTACCCATGAATGCTATGCAAAATTGTACCACTGAGTTACACCCCTATCTAGACATAATCTTTAATAGACAATTTGCAATATTTACCCAATACCTTTAACATTTATATTATTTTATATTTTATTTTGCTCTTCTGCAGCTCAAACCTAAGGAAATAATCTGAAATGTTCAAACCTGTAGAACAAGATGTTTACCACAGTACTATTTATAATAGAGGAAAACTAGAAATCACCTAAACTTACAATAATAGGGAAGGAGACCTTTGGGGTCAGCATGGCACATCCCACACAGAGCCTCCTCACATCCGTGTCCCCACCTGATATAGCACATCATATAGCTCACTACGCCTGGCCACAGCTGACTGGACCAAGGGGTACATCTGACCCAGCAAGGACCAATCAGTTTTTTTCAGAAATGTAAACCTGGGGCTGGGGATTTAGCTCAGTGGTGCCACCACCTGCCTCACAAGCACAAGGTCCTGAGTTCAATCCCCAGTACCAAAAAAAAAAAAAAAAGAAAAAAAAGAAAAGAAAAGAAAAAGAAATGTGAAACTGGGATGGAGGGATTTGAGTCAGCACCTCCTGGGCGCTTTAGGTAGAAGATGTTACAACACCAGAGCTGGAACAGCCCAGCTAGTCCTAAAAATTCAATAGAAAGACACAGAGAGAAGGGGGAAGGAGACATAAGAGAAAATGAAGTTCAAGACGGAGGAGAGACGGGGAAGCTGCTGAGGCCTTCAGGTCCTCATTCCTAGGTTCTATAAGACACTGTCCATCTTCGGAGAGGTCTACCTTCTTCTGCATCTCTAACTTAGATGCATTTGTTTACTAACGATCGAGTAATCCCTAATTTATCAGAATTGGTATCAGGAGCGGCAATAGAAGAGTCACAGAATGTAAGTGGGAAGTCTTTTTTTTTTTTTTTTTTTTTTTTGGTTT